AGCTAATTTTTTTGCATTAATGTAAGTGCCAAATGGAAGTTATTAGCGAATTTGGAGGCCTGGACCTCTTTTATGAAGAAATTGAATATGAAAATTACGTTTTTTATTTTATATCTGACGAAGAGCTTGAAAATTAAGACAATGTATTTTTTTTTTATTATGTTTATAAAATATATTATTAAAAAAAAAAAAAAATCCCCTTATACACTTAAAAAAATAAATATAAAAATAAAAAAATCGTCAAGCGAGGGCGGAACCACGCCCATTTTTCCAAAAATCATTTCTTATGGAGTCCATAATTATAATAAAAAAACCGTTTCGAAATATATTACTTAGTTTAAAAGTTATTAATTAATACCATAAAAATGGCCAAATTCCCCATAGTGCATTGGCACGTCAGCATCCTGCAGTGCGCGTCAAGTGTTGCATACTTTTAAGCACCCCCTACCAAGCACCCCGAAAACCCCTCACAGTCCCCCCGCAAATTGTACACCAGCAGTTCAGCTCCTTCAAGGACTCGTCGCCGGCGTCGATGCATGTCATTTGCTGGCAGATTGACAAACTTTGGTGCGTTTATCGTTGAGTGTGTGTGTTTGTGTGCTGTGTGTGATGAATATGGGGAGCGGCAGGCAACTTGCACTGATGCCAAGCAATTTCAATTGACGACACGAACGACGGCAATTGCCGGCTTTAAAGGGATAAGGCGACATAATGATGGCACATAAGGGCAGCGGGAGCGGTCATAAAAACGCTTTACCAACGCGTCAGTCGTAAAATTTCCAACCCCAAGCGTAGATAGTTATAATTGCAGACTGAGAGTTGTTAAACTTGGGAGTCGATAAAAAATTACAGACCACAAAAGCTTACAAAAAAAAAAAAAAATAAATAAAAAATTTGTAAAAAATGCAGCAAGTGCTGTCAGAACAATGTTTGAAAATCGGAGGAAATTAAATCAAGGGAATCTTAATTTTTAATTTGTGAATGCATTTTTTTTTATACTAAGAAAGAAGAAAAGAAGAACACCAAATAATATTATATTATGTGTCAAATACAACTTATTTTAGATTAAAAAAAAAATTATAAATAAGAAGAGATGATGTTAAATATATATTAAGTACTCAAATACTGAAGATCCTCCTTTATTTTCATTATCTCGTATAAATATGAGGAAATAATTGAGTACATTTTGGATTTAATTAGGATTATTAGACATTGAAAAATTAACATTAAAATATTTCTATTAACAATGAATCCTTTATCTGGACATTTCCATAGCTTAAACTAGACTTATTCAAATAAAATTATTCTTACTTTTTCTACACTTATTAAATTGATTTTTAAACCTAACATCAATTTATTTGTTTAAAATACCAAAACGTGTCATCACTGCTTAGATGGGTTCTTCAACCTCCAACTGACATTTATGCAAATCGAAATTCGGTTTAACAAGGCCAACAGCCAAAAGGGTTGGTGTGTAATGTTAAATACAAAATTGACTATGCCAGATGCTGCCGATTGTCGTCGTCAGTCGGTCGCTTATGGAATTTAAACTCTGCAAATATGCATTTAACACACTTCGGCGTGTCGAGATGCTGCAACAGTCTGTCCATTCCGGCGTATGTATGTATGTATAAATAAAAATCGCCAGCAGCTGTTGGTGGGTTGGATCTGGACGGAATGGGTTGCGATGGATGGCTGCTGGGGACATGGGACGCGGGACGCGGGACTTTGGCAGTGCGGCATTTTGAAGAGCATATGAAAAGTTTGGCTCCCATGTTGTCGCATGGAATTTATGATGAATTTTCCAACTCGACGCATATTGCAGAACATTTTTGGGTCCGTTCGGCCTAGGCCTGATGCCATCCTTTCCACCATGAACTGCAACCACAGCAGCAGCCGCAACGCAGGCAGATCCAGAACCATAACCAGAACCAGAGAGCCGGGGAAGCATTTGGTCCATGGCTTGTTTCTGGCTTTTCATTTTTTTTTGTTCTCACTTCCCAACCCAATCCCAGTTCCAATCCCAGCCCGAATCCCCACTCGGCTAGCAGCTTTTCATGTTGCCCCTTTGCTCGGTTGTTCGGCCACATGACGTAGTCGCTGCTGTGGCAAAGTCCCGTCCCGGTTCCGAGTCCTGGAGCTGCCCCAGGGTGCTCTTCGTACTCCGAAATTGTTTTAGTGCTGTTAGAAATTTTCAAAATGCGATTTGACATGTATAAAGCACACTGAGTGCGGAAAAGGGCCAAGGGCGTGACTGGCGCTAACAAATTCTGATAGAATCAAATCGAGAAGCCATTGCTCACCAGAATTATGCAATTGAGTAAGTTTATTCAGTGAACTCTGGCACACAAGAACGGAAACTATTAACTAATTTTGGTTTTAATTTAGTTGCTTGAAAGTCAAGACAAGTTTAAGTTAACTTACATTAGCTGCTGGGCATTTATTTATTATTATAAATAGATTTTGTTTGTTAAACATGGATATCTGTTGATCGAAGCTCTTTGTTTAAAATGCGTATTTTTCCTTTCAAAACCATTTCTGTTTTTGGACTCATTTCTTACTGCAATCATACTCCTCTTTTGCCTTAATCCAAGCCTTCTTGGCTACTCCCTTCGTTTATCCCCTCGTTCAGGATTTCGACCTCAGCCCAACATGATTTTAATCTCCCCCCTTTTTTGTGGGGATTATGCTAATTGGTATCCTTTGACTGGCTGAGTATTCTCAGAGAGAAATGGCTTTAGACCACATGGATTGACTCTGGAGAGGGCTAACAACTATGGGGAAAAAAACCTAAACATAGTTGAAGATAAAATCCTACTGATGGTCGATGAATTTTCCATTTGAAAGACTCCAAATAAATCAGGCAAGAAAGAAAAACAAAATAATTCTGCATTGCCTGTAACATTTTTGTGTATTTCTTTTAAAGCTTGGAAATATTAAGAGAATTTCCAAAAAGAAACACCAGAACTAGTTTTACAATTGACACATAATTAAATGGCATACAAATGCTTTCATTCTCATCAACTTAATCCCTTTATTATCCACATTTTCATCATATTGCCGGCATAATCTGGCTGATTATTCCGCCGGCCCATATTATTATGCCATTGAACAGGCCATAATCATAATCATAGCATTTATCTAATATGCCAGCGAAAATATTTGCTCATTTAATAATAAGGGAACGGAGCGCGGCGTGGCCTGTGGCAAGCATTGATGGAGACCGAAATCCGGAATCCTCTTCCATACCCACACCCACACCGAAAACCCGAAAGCCAGAGCCAGACTCTGGGCAAAAATGAAGCGGCGAAATGCGAACGATGATGCTGGGCGCAAACAAGTCGCAAATTGAATTGATTGGCTGGTAAACAAGCGCCGACCCGGATGCCACGCCCCCACCAAAGGCCGGATAAACAGATCCAGAAGCTTTGGCCATAGCCAGAATCTCTAACCAGAATCGCGGCAGCAGCAGGCAGCCACAGGCCCTAATTGAGCGTGAACATAGAGAGCATAATGCGCCACCAAAAAAAAGCGGACTTCAATTTTGATAAGAAGGCTCCAAGCTGGGCCAGGAAAATTTGCAATTAGCCCCTCGAAATAAAATGGCCAGCCAAAAATTGTCAAAGAGCCGGTGAAATTGTTTACAAACCAATTACAAAACTACCAAAGCAGAGCCAGAGACAATGGCAACTGATTTGGCCCACCAGCTTGCTGACCTTTGAACCCCATACTTGCCTTCAGGCGCAGCTGCTCGAAAGTAAAATCCAACGGAGCGCCAAAAATTGCGTTATCTTAATGAGTTTAAACGTTAATCAGGCAAGGCAAGGCAAAGTCACCGAAAAGGGAGCCGCGCAGGATGCGGAAATGGTGGCCATTTTGCTGGCCAACCAACAACACTGGGCCAGTGGGCAAAAAAAACACCAAATTTCTGGCTGCGGCAAACGGAAGTCGAAGAGTCAAGAGGCCAAGTCCAGAGAGTCCAAGGCAGCACGGATGCATATTAAATTAATAATTTGACCTCATCCTGTGACTGCTGCTCGGAGAGTGGTCTAATTTTTGCATCCGCCCGCCGCCGAGATTTTTGCTAGCTGATTGCGACAAGGACAACATCGGTGCGGCGGGGGCCATGTGGCGCTAATGTTTCACCCGACACCCGAGACCCAAAACCCGGGGCCCAGAACTCAGACCCAGACCGAGACCAAGAGATAAACAATTAAAAACTTTTGCAATTTGCGGTAATTCCACTCTTAACCCCTTGGACGACGCCAAGTGCGCATAACAAGTAGCTAGTAACGCAAGTATTTTTTTTGTTTGCAACTCTTGACTTGGCGTTTAAGTACGATTGGGTTCGGAGCACAGGAAATAATTGGAATGGCATTCAAAATTACATTGCTTATTTGAGTTAAGTTTGATTAGGCGTTTATGCGGGAGACTTTCTTTCTTTTTTAATTCAAGGGCGAATTGTACTTGTTATACTGGTAACTTTTCATAAAAAACAGGACTAATTCGCCCCAAAATGTGTGCGCATATAATTCCCAACCGGTTTTAACATCCCTGGAATTACATATTTATTTTATTCTACTATATTTGTAATATTATGTAATATTCCATGAATATTAAAAGTATTATTTTTTTTCAAATCCTTAAATATTTTCCTAATGAAATAAAAGTTTTTAAACTAATAATTATCAATAAGTTAAACCTTAATTAACAAAATGTTTGTTGTTGTTTGCAAATTCAAGCATTTTCTATTTTTTATGTATTTTTTTAAATAATTATTTTCGCAGTGTAACTGATTAGTAGGTCTTTACTGCTATCTTATCATTTATTCTCAGATTGTCACACTGACTGATAAAAATATAAAGGCAGGTCTTAGCTCGATTTGTGCTGGGTGCACTCATGTAATTATTGTTGATTTTGCGCACGTTTTTTCTTCTTATCAATCAAAACAGAACGCAAAAGTGTTCACCCGGCACTGCTTTGGAGGTAAAACCTATAAATACCCAAGAAACGAAGACCACTGACCATTCACACATTACAAAGTATTTAGTCAGAGTTACAATTTAAAGAAATACAATACAATAAACCTTCAAGATGGTTTGCAAAGGATGCGGAACTAGTAAGTTAACGAATATTATTTAGAAAATATAACAAAACCAATCTGGGTCATAAAATGCTTAGTTTTATTGATTATTAACTTGTTATATTTATTTTCTAGACTGTAAGTGCACGGACACCAAGTGTGGCGATAATTGTGCCTGCAGCCAGGACTGCAAGTGTGTCTGCAAAAATGGACCCAAGGATCAGTGCTGCAAAACCAAGTAGATATAGATTTGCCGATCAAAGGACACCGAATAAATGAAACCAGTGGCCAAACCTCAAGCCAAACCCACACATTTCCCTAGAAATGTCTGTCAAAAATGATATTTCGCTTAATTACAGTTTTCGCGGGCGACAGACACACTACTAAAAATGCATAAACACACAAAAATGTCGAGGACAAATATATTTAGTCTGATGGCAGCATGACCATGATGTTAGTTTTTGTTTTTGTTATTTGTGTCTGTGGCCCAGAGGCTAAGTCCTCTTCTGGCCAAGTGTCACACACGCACATTTTTGGCCAGGGTCGTCGTCGTCGTCGCATTGCAAAATGCGCAATTATTGCATTTGTGGCGCGTGGCAGGATGTGGCATCCGTATGGCAGGCAGGATGTGGCAGGATGGCTGCAAAATTTATGCGGTCTCATTTGGAGGACACAACTCGAAATTGTGACACTTGTAAGTGAGCGTGAAATAATTTCGCGCATTAAGTATACGCAACGGGGGCCCGCTGCCATTCGGAGTGCAATTGTTTAAGCAATTAATTAGCACAGTTCCGCGACAATGAAGTGCCGAACAAAAATACCCAGAAAACAAAAAGGAAATATAAAGCTGAAGCGACGGCGGCCACTTAAGGACTTTTGCTTCTTCGCCTACAGTGCAACCTCCTCCACTCGGATTGCCTTCATAATAACCACGCCAAAAGTGGGAGGGGTGTGGAAAACTCGTGTTTCACTCCAACAATGAACTCGGTGGTGGGCGCTGCGGGGCTGGGAAAAATTCTAACCGCAAATTGCGGAAATGCCTGTCTGGGCCGTCTGCTCGTCTGCCTTTCTGCTCTAATTGTCTGTACATAATTTAGGCAAACATTTTTAATTAAGTGCAATGCCCGGCTCACACACAAGTACATGGCTTGGTTTTTAATTCCGTCATTAATCTTTCAGAGAGCCATTGCGAGGTGTACTCGAGCAGTTGATCGTAGCAATTAGTGCCGAGTTTTAGACTTTGGTGTCTGTTTGTTTGTTGTTTCGCCTGAAACACAACAATCAGCAAACAGTTGCCAACACTTTTTGTTTGCTGTTGCTGCAACTTTATTTACTCAGCTGCGGTGTGTCTGGATTTGCCCTTTTTGTTAATGGTTATATTAGCTAAGTCCTGAATTTTGAGTTTAAAATATTAACTGGTGCCTAAAAATGATCCTTAATTAAACAACTTAATAGTAATAACCTTTCTTGAATATAAACCTCTTAACTTGTTCCCAAGAAAAACTCTTACACAAATTGGGTTAATTATAAAATTAGCCATATCTGAAAATAAAACTTGTTGAGCTACTTTTACCAAGAGAATGAAATCTTGTACACTTTTGTCGACCATCCTGGCTTTCTTATCGCCACGTTTTTGGTGTTTTTCTTGTCTGTGGCACTCGTAACTTTGCCGCAAAATTGCTTGTTTCCGCTTCCGGCCCCTTAACCCTCAACAGCCCTCGGCCGTCGCCCACTGATAGATGCCATTATGACCTACACTTGGCCATAAGTTTTCCCTCTGGGCCGACAAACACAACCACCACGATGACTACGACGACGACGACGATGAAGACTACGTTGTTGAGGCTGAAGCTGCTGGCGGCAATTAAAGCCAATTATTCTGAAATAATTGTTTTAAGCTGATTTCTTGGGTCGGGCCTCCTTCTTGAGTTTATTTTGGTTGTTATTTTATATATATTGTTTGTTTTTCTTTTTTTGTCGCCGCTTTGTGGTGTTTTTTATTATGGATTGTGACCCATGATGTGGGGTTTTAAGAGCTTGTGGGCTTTACGCGGCTTTGGGCTTGACATTACGCTTTTTGTGTGTCTTTAAAGCGATTCTCATTTTCAATTTGCAATCCGAAAAGCTCGTTAAAATAATTTGTCACAGTATTCTGTTTAATTAAAAAGTTTCAAATGAATGTGCAATGCCATTAAATGATTCTTTCCAGCTTCTCTCACTCCCTTCTGTGTGTGTTTCGGGGATGCCTAAAAAACAATTAACCCAACTGCAATGCAATGCCAAGCATTGTCTGTGTGCATGTGTCTGAATTTGTATAGGCAACTCGAGTTTTCCATAGTGGGAAAAACTTGACAAAAAGTGGCATATTACGTGGGGAAAAAAAAAAGGAATGAAATTTATTTTAATATATCATATACCCTGATAAGCCTATTAGCCGCAAAATTAAAAGTATTTAAGATATTTGCTCAATTTGGCTTAATTTGTTTACATATTAAAATCATTAAATAGCCCTAATTATGCTTGAAATGTGCAAGCTACTTTTTTCTTTATTGGATTGGAAATAAATATTTTACTGATTTTGCAACACAGATGTTAATTTTTATGTTTCAAAGACATATGTACATTACACTATCTGATATTTAAGCTTATTAACACTGAATAAAAATGGATTGAAATCGTTTAATTTGATTTGATTAATGTTCATATTTTATTCATTAGTAAATGCCTGCAGATTTTGAGATATGTACATTCTCATACAGTGTCATAAATCTGTCTTTTGGCATAGTGTGCCCGTATCTACATATTTTTAAACTCTATTTTGTATGGTTAAGCAACCAAATATAACATTTTTTAATCATATTTCATTTATATATTGTTCATTAGTGATAAGTATTGATATTTATAGCTTAAATTCCTAATATTTTTGGTTTTACTTTTTAATTTTAGATAAAGTGTCATAAAGCTTTAGGTGCTTGGCATAGTATCTAAGGGTAAGTATTATAATTACAGCTTATTCACATTTTGTTCATAACTAAGTGCCTTATAAATTAGTGATAAATAGTCCCATTTAACGCTTTAATTCTAAATATCCAGGGTTTATTTCTTAGTTTTAAATTAAGTGTCATAAAGCTTGAACTCTTCGTCTTTTATAGATTTTTCTTTAAAGAAGAATAAATTTTCTTTTAAATACTTATCCCAACTGCCATACATTTATTTCAGTGGTCTTAAAAATACTAAACCTTCTTGTTCTATTTACCTTAATCAACAGTTACATAATACAGCGTTCTTTCCTCTCTGGACTGGTTACGAATAACGATTCAATGTGTATATCCTAATGTTTCCGAGTGCCTTTTTTTGCATGTGCAATTCTACAATTTCATTTGCTGGCCCAGAAATAAAAGAACTGGAACAAAAAATATTCTATACAAAATTCGCAACGGAAATGAATGTTGAATGGGTCTATGTGTGGGTGAGTGTGTAGGGGGGGAAACTCGCACAATAAAATTTATTGTTGGAGTAACAATTGTTGTAAGCCCTTGCTGCTGTGTGCGTTTGTCACCCACAATGTCCGTCAGGGGCTTCATTGTTTCGCCACATAATTAATTGTCGTAGTTTTCGGGTGTTAAATAATTAGAAAACAAGTTTTTCAGCTATTAATCAACGTGTGAGTGAGCAGGAGGAGTGAGCGGGTATTCTTCGGGTTTTATACTGCGAATGTGGTTCAATTTAATGGCCACAAAGTCTTTACACCCACATAATGCCACGAATTAACCTCAACACCTTATCAATGCATAAGGGGAAATGGCCTCTAATGTGCTCCTTAAGCCCCAATCGTAACCCATTCTAAATCACAACATAATCCCATAATTTACATAAAATGGAGCCAAATCGCTGGGACACGAATACAAAGGAGGTTGTGACCCACAAATACAGCACCCACAAGCCAGAGAGAAAAAAAACGAAATAAAGAAAAAAGCCAAGAAAAAAAAAACACCCTTAGGTTCCCCCAAGCACACAAACATTGGGCTAACGCAATTTGCCCCACTCAAATATCATTATGTCATAAATTGATGTTGAATCCTTGTTCATTTATGAAATTTCCCCATTCCGCTCTGTGTGTGTGCGCTTATAAAGTTCACAAGTTCGATTTGCCCCCAAGCAAGGACCCCCGAGTGTGTGGGTGTGTGCCACGAATTTAAGTTTTTATGAGTGCCATCAGCATCACCGGCATCATTGCCATCATCATCATTGTTCGATTGACCTTTCTAATTGCCAAGGTATCTAGTTTAAAGTGCGTTCGATGAGGGCGCTAGAGCTGGAAATTTGCATGTCCCTTAAGAGAGATGATGCTAATGAAACGTCAATTATGTGCGACCGTTTACAAGGACTCTTGGCAGAATAATACTTAAAAGCAGACCAAGATGTCTTTGCTCGACTATGAAATACCTGGTATGAAGTGAGGTAGGGAGTGTTATTTATAAAGGAAAAAGTGCAGTTGATTTTCCACATTTTATTTAAACTTACAACTAAATCCAAATATGAAATTATAGAAAATAATCTTGATAAACTTCAGATTGAAAATGTAAATTCTTTATATAAATATTTTTTTTTTAGGATTTTTACAACTAACATAATATAATTTTATAATGTAATTTTATATCTTTCCCGAATGCTTTGCTATATACCTTATTCCGTCTCCGAATACCGTGTATAAAAATGAGCACGTGACCAACTTTGTCAACGCCTGTGGCATATCCAATTTAACCCTCAAATGGCTGCCATTATGACAGCATCATGGAGCATCAGGAGCAGCAGAGGAGCCACATCAGTAGACCCGCTGAGTTATTAGCGAATCGTGATTGGCATAAATCAATGCAACAACGACTCGGCCGGCGGTGGTTGCAGAAGGTAGAATGCACCTGCCGTAGACACACTCTTACTTGGCCAACTAACTGCTACTGGACAGGTCAGAAGGACTCTTTGGCCCTAATGGCCTGCCCGGGCCCATTGAGGAATTTATGACTGTCATTCGTCTGGCACTCAAAAGGGACGACATCCTTGACGATGACATTGTCCCCCCGCCGATGCGCTGGGCTGCTCTGCCGTAATCCCACTTACAACATCAAGATGGATGCCATCGCTGATGCGCCATTTATGCTGAAACCGAAATCGAAAGCATATCGATCACATTAACGTGGCATAAAGACTAAAGCGGATTCGTGGCGCATTGCAGATTTGATTTGCATTGAGTGCGCGCGGCATTGTTACAAAATGCAAATGTCGGTCGTGGAATAACTCTGCTAAATAGTTGCCCCAACGATCTGTTTATGCACTCGACATCCGCTTCCGCATTCGGACTCCTTTCCGTCCTTTGTATGACAAAATGCTGGACAAAGGATTTAATTAGTTTTTCTTTCATTTGCGATGCTAGCTGGTAGCCGGTGTA